CTCGTTCAAATCAAAATTATCGATGCTTGTATGTATGTAATTCAATTGATCGTCTTTCATCATTTCAAGTCCATAAGGTTTGTAAACAATCATGGTCAGTACTTAAATCTTCCTTTGCTAAAGCAGTCGTCATACTTCTTACGTCGCTGTAGGAACAAGGAAAATTCCATTGTATATAAAAGATCTATAACTTTCCTGCTTCTGACAGTATTATATAAAAATAGTACCTAAACCTATATGCAAAATTATTTTTCGAGAATCCTTTACAGTAGAAACTCATGATATTTGAAAGAGTCAACGCTCATTTCTGAATTTTCAGAATCATTAACATTAGTTCCTAAAAGCCATTCCGAAAACAACAACAAAATATCCGGTACTTGCTTTTCAAATTGTGTCTTGCATATTCCGTCAAGTGAGGGAAATGCCGTTTTAGGCATCTTATACTCAGACATAGCAGTTCTTAATATTTCACAAGCCCTGAGAAGTACCCGTTTGTTTGAAAGAGTCGCACCATGAAAATAGTCTTCTCCTGAACTAGTAGATTTGTCATCTTCAGAATGAAAATATTCAGACTTATCTATATCAGATGCGCAAATAATATCGAATTTGTCAGGTGTCAGCAATATCATTGTATAACTTACAGACCCCAGCCAATGTAAGAGTTTTATGTTTCACAATGACATGTTCCTTGACGTAATTCTCCGTTTGTGTACGTGCTTCCCCCGAACATTTTGAATTGCCAGTATTATTATGAATTTTACTTTTTTATGTTTCGCTCTGATATGTATAGGCTATAGCAAGTTTTATGGTATTTACAGTCATAAGCAAAAAGATTCCAAATAGTTAGCAAGTAGTGAAATCATTTCAGTATCATTTCGGTTTTTCGCTGCTTTCAAGATATTACTTCTGGTCGAAGCACCTGTTCCTACGGAAAAAATGTTACAAAATTATTGAACCTAAAACAAAGACGTAGAATAAGTTAAAAATAACAGGGCCCGGTAACAAGAAATGCATGGCAACAGCATTGCAAAAGCCAACGTAAATTTAGATCAATAAAAAAATTATGATTATTTATTAAAGCAGGCAATTTTTCAAAACAAAAAAAAATACATAATATCAATCGAACAAAAATTTGTAATAAGCATCACGAACGGAACCTATTTACTGATAACAAACACTGGCATCGGTCAAATTATACCTATCTACTACCTACTTATTATACTATTACATACCTGTTTGAATAGCAATGAGTCCTTCTTTTTTCTTTTTCTCCGTTATTTTGCAAAATAAACAAATTTTACGTATGTTGAAAGATTGCTGACTTTTCCTAGTATATGTCAAACCACTTGTACTTGGTTGAGCGTCATCACTGGACGATTTTTTTTCTCCATTATAAAATCAACATTTCTATTGCTAATATAAGAGCTACGACATGACGTGTGAAACTTGAAATTCGTATTTCCCGAAAGAATAAGATCCTTGTAGGGTAAAATATTCTTAGAAAAGTCATCTTGTCTTTTCTTCGCCACTGTCAATATTGTTAACAAACCCTTTTTTGTAGGTTTACCAACGAAGTCTTTCTCGCGAATCACATGGTATCCCACAAATTAAACAAATTAAAGCAACCATATTAACAGTCAACGGCACAAATTATTAAAAGACACAATGCCAGCAAATACACCTCTCTCCAGAAATGTTTGTTCACTAAATAATTTAATACGCTGCAAAACGCACATGGGCGATTCTTGCATAACTGTGATTTTTTATGTCCAGTATTTTATTTATCGTTTAGCATAAGTTTTCCTCATCAAAAAGTTATTAATATTGTAAATTTAGAGGTATTTTACAACTGACATTATGAATTAGATCATAAACCTTCGCAAATTTTTTTTAAGCTGCACCTAAATATACTCGAAATGTCAGTACCGTGGCATGTCCGATTCTTATTTTGTAAATTAAATATATAAATTTCTATCAAAATTAATTTTTTAATATAAAATATACCTCTTATAACTACAATCTAATGCATACTGCATTGAATTTTATTGCAATTTTATACCAATCTTTCGATTAGTAAAAAAAAATAATCATTTATATGTCAGTACCGTGGAAATAATGTCAGTACCGTGGCACTAAACTTTTGAAATTTTGTCACAGTTTTCGTTGTGTTGTAGCTGTAGTAAAACCAGTTCACAGGCTTAGTTTTGTGAATAAATAGAAAATAAAAACGCGCAGAACAAACGTTTTAAAACATTTTAAATGTTAGAAAAATTTAAATTGTAAAAATCACAGTTACACGAGAATCACCCACATATGATTTCTGTTGAAACGGTGGGCTTGGATTTAGCGCGCATTTGAAGGCTTTTTGATAAAAAATAATATTTCTATAACCGTTAAAGTTAGTTATCTATTTTTTTTTAAAAACTGTTTATGTTCTGACTACATTTGACTCGATATATATGTATAGAAATTATCAATAATTCACATAGCTCGCCGCAGGGTGAAGTTTTGAATGTACAATTTTGATAATTTTATATCCCTAAATTTAAAAAAAAAACTTTAAACATTTTTGAAATTTCAGAATTGCCATTAGAAGCGCTCACATTTCAAGTATAAGTATGCAAAAAAAAAGAATTTTCGAATGCATACTGGAATAAATACGGTTAATGTTAAAAAAAATGTAGTTTTTGTAATTTGAGCTCAACCACGTTTAAGGGTTATTTTCAAAGTTCATTCCTACTAAAAAAAGTTGTGCATTCCCATTTCCCATGCCCCAGAGTGTCCTCTACAAGACGGTACAGATTTTATTTGGTTATACCTTCGAATCACCCACCCTTAGAAAAATGCGAATTTCAGGAGCAATTTTATTCTACTATTACATCTATTTTATGCCTTAACCACGATGAAAGACAATAGGTGTTTCAACTTCCCTAAAATCCCATATAAAAACAAAAGACGATATGGCACCAAACACAACGTAGTTCCAAAAAATTCACCAGAGGTCGTTAAAAGGTGAGGTACCCGACTCGATCATATATTGATCATTAAGAGCTAGATGAAGTATATTTTAACATCAATATGTATCCAACTTCAAGATTTGGCCATCAGATGATTGGTCAATCATTTGACAGGTTATTATTCTAATGTTCACGCAGCATAACATATACTATATTTACGAACAAATATAATTGTAAATTATTTATAACTCTAATAATTTTGCAATATTATTTATTAAAGTTAGTTTAAAATAATGCTTTTTTCATCATTGTTGAGGTCTAGTTATTATCTAGTCTAGTTATTGTTGGTCTTAGATATGAATGAAGTACCTGTCAAATTTTAATTTAGATATATCAAAAGTTGAATTGGACAAAGTAGAAATAAAATAATAAAGACGATAGTAATTGCTGTTATAAGCTTTTATATTATTTTGTAGATAAAGAAAACAAACGAATAAAGGTATTTTCAATTTTTTACATGTACATTTTATTAGAATTAGCAGTTCGACTGTTAAGACTTCATCCGTATATTATAAATGTAAACAAGAATGGAATGATTGATAATTTGTTCTTTTTTTACATTTATAATGCAAGCTCTTGGCGTATACTAATAAAATTTACACATTTAAAAAGACCTACCTTTCCTTCGTTTTTCTTTATCAATCTGTGTGTAGTTACACCTACAAACATTTGATTTATTTTGTAAATAATTAAAGTTGTATTAGTTAATGAATCTACTGAAAACAATCCTCTGCGTTTATATTTAATAAAAAGTTTATTACAACACTTATTTATAGGTAATTAAGGTTTAGAGATCATTTTTGTACCTACCCTTTTCATCAATTTGCCATGTAAAAACCACATTTTATTACAATTTGGAGATCCCTCTATGTGAAATTGTGTAGAACTGGTAACAAAATAAGCATGTATCTTTGGAATGTGTTTATTAATTATCTAAAATGTGGCAGTTATAATTTTATACCTACTCTTTTGTAAACATAACATCAAAATGGCACTTAACACTTATTTTTTCAAAACTCATTTCAACAATATTTACAATTTTGTAGGAAAGAATACACACTATTTTTATTATTTAATTATTGATGTCTTGTACACTAAAAATGATGAAAAATAGTAATGTTCTCACTTTGTTTTGATAAAATATATGGGTGCTTTGGGGTATCGTTTTTTTTTCTTCTCATTTTCACTTCCCATATCGTTTGTAATATAGAATATTATTAGTAGACATTAATAAATTCATTATTTAAAAAAAATTGGATATAGACGTATTTTTTACTCGATTAAGATAAAATTAACTGAATTTTTATGACAGTTCGCAATCAATTTGTTTTCATTTGAGGTACTTCATCTTCTACCGACATCTAGTGGATTTTTTACATACTATGCTGTTATTGGTGCCATATTTTAAAAAGAGTTGAAACACCTGTAAAATGTCATTCACCGGGGCCTTAACTCAAAATGGCAATTTTTCGAGTTGCACTATTATTGTATTGATTGTGCAATTTATTTAATTCACATTAGAACAAATGATAACGCCGTATCTATTTCGAAATCTTTAGATCCATCGAGATATCGATGGCTCAATCAAAAACCGCCACAAGTTAAAAAACAAAGAAAATTACATTTTTGGTTCAATGGATGCAAAATATTGAGATTTTATTTTAAATACCGCCACAAACAAAAATATCCTTAAAGATGCCCGAAAATCATTTAAAATCTTGCCACAAACTGTGTCTAAAACTGCCTCAATTCGAGTTATTTTGTGCAAAAACACCCAATTTTTTTACAAACTATGCAATAACTCGCCTTTATAATCGTTAATTTTAACAGCAAAATATCGAGGCTTTTAAATAAAATAAAGATTTTATGTCAAAAACAAAATAATGATAATATAGACTTCATTTTGAAATTTCTCGAAACAATAGTACTTTAGTTGTGGGAGTATTTGATTGAGCCATTGATATCTTTCGAGAAACGGGTGCATCAATCATGCAATCTCTTAGCCATTACATTTGACCTTAGGTAGGTCATCACGTTTTTGATATTTCAATTTTATATTTTATCAACGAAAAATATCTGTACTTGTAATTTCTGAAGGTTGCGCGAACTTATGATTACGCGAAATCAAATAATATAGTAAGTTATAGTAATTTCAGTTTGCTCTGCAGTGACAGTTCGAAAGCGGCCTTTAAAGTGTCAGGTCGTAGGAAGAGTGTTACGTGGTGCGAGAACAACGCGTAACGTGAAAGTTTTTGTTACTGCTGCTGTTTGCGTTCGAAAGTTCTTCGATATATCGATAATTACTTGGAATTTGTGATAACTTGTATATTTTCAAAACAATAAAAGTAAGTCGAAGTTCTTATACTCTACCGAGGGTCGTAACACCTCTACAAGAATATATCTATCAAATATATTGAGTAAGATCTATCTAATCACTAAGCGTTTCGATTATGAATTAAATATAATAATTTTCTTTACCAGTTTAATTCGAGCTCATATTTTTATAGCCAAAGAAAATATTGATAAACATTCGAATTTTGCACTTTTCCTCAAATTTCTCTAATCCGGTGCATTTTAGGAAAATAATACGACAAACATTTTAGAGAATAGCATCACAAAAAACTCTTATTCGAAATTTTTTTTTTTCTTCAATAAATAACAGAAATATACCAACACTACGAAATGGACCGACTATGCCCCAAATATAATCGCATGATGGATTAAAAGCTTAATTTTAGTAATGAAATAAAAAACTTGTAATTCCTGCAAAATTTATTAAAATTAGCAAAGTGCTTTCGGCAAAAAACCATCTTCAGTCCTTATCTATAATGAATACAACTACAGGGTGTTTCGAAATTAGACCGCCTAACTTAGGGGTGGTACGGGTCAATAAAAATATGTAACTGATTTTAATGAAATTAATGACTTATCTTTTAGACCTATTAGTCAAAATTTCCTTAGGCTTTCCCACAGGGAAAGCATATTATTTTTTGCTGCAAAAGAATAAAATACTGTACATTTTTAAAAATTTTTATAATTATTTTGATAAAGTAAGTAAAAATACTTTTTTGTTCCTTGATTTTTTGTTTAAAAAAAAAATCGACAGACAAAAAGTTGTATTTTCAGTTGCTTTTTTCAAAACAATTATGAAAATAGAAACTAGGTATCTGCCAGGAGTTATTAATTTTGTGTAAAATTCCCTTTATTTTGAAAATGGAGTCGTTCAAGTATTACATAAGCACACTTTCAATGATTCTAGACTCCCACCCTCCCTGTATAAGCAAAAATAAGAAAATTGTTAACCCCCTTCCTCGAAATGATGTAATAATTTTTTCAATCAAATCCGTTTAATGTCGTAGTATTTTTTACACTTATACTATCACTTTAATCGGTTTATAGCGTGATGGCACTGCAGCCTGCGGCTTATTGTACTACCATTTGAAAGTCTTACTACTATAAATGTTGCGATACCAGTATAGTATCGATACCGGTATCGAAAGAGTATCGGAACCAAAGTATCGATACCGGTATCGAAAGGGTATCTGAACCAAAGTATCGATACCAGTATCTAAAAGGTATCGGAATGAAAGTATCGATACCGATATGGGGACGAGTGTAGTCATAGGGTACGCCGACATACCATACTATAAAGTGATATGGGTAAAGTATCGAAAGCAAAGTATCGGGTAATAAATTACCCGGTATAGAAAGAAAAGTATTGATACCAGTATCATATCAGTAGTATCGCAACATCCCTACCTACTATTCTCCTATTCATGCACCCTTTCCACGTCGTCGATGGTTAAATGTTAGTCGGCTAAGTGCTATGATGGTATGGCCCATAGTGGAACGTTTTAAGCACTAATCTCGCCGCTAGCCTCTCCGGCTGTTGTTGTAATCCGGGATTCCCCGAATTGAACATCGGTATTATTAAGAACTATATCAAGGTATCCTAAAAACATATCGACAAACTTTAAAGGGTGATAGGCGACATCAAAACAAACTTTTTGTTTAATAAACATATTTCCGCAAATTAGCCATTTGGATTGTAGAGCAATTACAAATAACTAAATTAATTCTTCATTTAGTTGAACACTACTGTCTTTCGTTCGACATTTTTTGTTTCAATTATGTTTTTTGTTGGGGAGCAAAAACATTATTTCTTTATTATTCCTCCTCAACCTTTGATATCTTTATCACAGTAAAAATTGTAAAGCTACCAATTTTAAAACCGTAGTACTATTTTTTAATTCAAATGGACCATAATTTCTCATTTCAAGAACTTACTAATATGTACCTTGGTTATGGTGCTTCCAGTTATTGTAATGGAAGAGAAAATGCACGCTTGTATGAACAAAGATATCTGGAACGCTTGCAACCTCATCATACAACCTTTGCTTCCATCCTTCGTCGCCTTAGAGAAAGGGGGAACCTGAAGCGTTCTTATGGTAGTGGTCGTTCAAGAACGGCTAGTACTGTTGAATTTGAAAAAGGAGTTCTACACCTTGTGGAGTAAAATCTATCCACAAGTGTTCGCGCAATTGCACACCATACGGGAACCTCTATGTCGGCAGTACTGCGTGTCCTGCATGCACAACTCAAACCCCTACCATTTACAACGCGTACAAGCTTTAAATCCTGAATATTATCCACATTGATTAATTTTTTGCCAATGGTTTTTGGATCGTGACTCAATAGACCCTCACTTAGGAAGAAAAGTATTGTTTACTGATGAGGCATGTTTCACGCGCGATGGTCATTTTAATGTTAGAAACAGCCACATTTGACATGATGAAAATCCTCATGGTTTGGTCTTTAGAAGACACCACTAACAATTTTTTTCTGTAAACATGTGGGCTAGTACTGTTGAAGAGAATCTAAACCTACCATTTTGCAAGGTAAAACCGAGACCGACTTCAAACGCCTTCGCGACACCGAAGGAAGCCGAAAACGGTCTCTTTGCGTCTGAACACATGTAATTATATGAAACACATTTGGGAAGGCGAGACAGACGACACCAGTTTTGTACGGTAAAGTTTTCTGCGTAGAATTTGCCACCTGTCGTCTTCCTTAAGGTATCATTTTGGTAGGCGCGACAGACGACAACAGAGGCGACGGCAAGGACGACAGATACATTAACGTTACGCTCCGCACATTTGGCAAGCAAGGAGACAGGTAACACGACATCCGCAGACAACCATTCGAGGGAACGATCAGCGTTGCCAGACCTACTGTTTTAAAGTAGATCCACTGTTTTTGTCTCTGTTCTCCTGTTTTAGGCATAAAATCTACTGTTTTCGCCAACTTAGCAAATTTTGTTCTTCATTTATTAAGTTTGCCTCATTCTTCAGCAAATGGTCAAAGAATATTTTCTCTAGAAAATTTGCTGAAGTAAAAGCAGCGTAATAAGTATCCACTACTGTAGGTTGGCTCCATAAAAAAACCTGAAGATAATCATTATATTTTCATTTAAAATGCAACAAAGCATTAATAAACAGCATTCATAAAAAGAACATGGATACCAAACACAACGATTTTGAATTATCTGATTTAGACTGATCTAAAAGAAGTAGGTACCTATTATTTTTCATTGGTTTCTTTTTTGTTTCCGTACGTTAAGTATATATTAAAAATATTATTTGTTTTTATTGTTTACTTTCTAACTTGGGTAGAAAAATGTTTATTTTTCGTTTCTTATATACTTGTTTTTTTTTATTTACTACACTGCAAATTATAATTATTTCCCACTGTATTAAAATCTACTGTTCAGATCTACGTTCTTTTTTCACCCATACTGTTCCAGCAAATGTTTATCTGGCAACACTGCCTAGATCGAAAGAACTTTCCAACTACCATTTATATAAAGTATCTACTAAATCACCCCGAAATACAAGTGATGTCTGAGGACAGTGAGGACTGAGTGCGACAGGCACCAAACGCCCTGCCCCGAGAGACCGATCTAATGTGTCGTCGACTTCTGTCTCTCGGACCTGTCGCGCTTTGCGAAATATGTTTCATATAATTGCATGTATTCAGACGTGAAGAGACCGTTCTCGGTCGTCTTTGCCGTCACCTCTGTTGTCGTCTGTCGCGCCTACCGAAATGGTATCAAATGTGTTTCATATAATTACATGTGTTCAGACGTAAAGAGACCGTTTTCGGGCTCTTTCGGTGTCGCGAAGCCGTTTGAAATCAGTCTCGGTCTCGCCTTGCCAATTGGTAGCTTTATAGTTTACTAGCTACCTGTTTGTTTGATCGCAGACATTTATCTCCCGTTTTTTGCAAAATGATTTGCCTCTATTATTAGTTATTAGAAAATACCCATTTAGATATTAGAAATACATGTGGTTTCAACATTTTGTTTTAAACATGCACCAGTATTTGGAACAGCGATTGGTGAAATGTGATTAACATTTTTAAAAAACGATTTTTTTAAATTTTTAAAATTAAATGACAAGAAATTAAATTAAAATACATACTATCAAACAATAATAGTTTGTGCAACAAGAGTGGATATGACGGCCATATCGCACAAAGACGAAATTTGAGCAGGACGCCGTAGGAAGAGTGCTCAATCGTCTGAGTGCGATGTGGACAATCCACTCGAGTTGTACAGAATATTTTTTCTACGACCCACTAACAAAAATTTACAAATAAAAAAATATTTTAGATTATTAAGACAAAATAACTAATTTTAAAATAATTTATGACTTTTAATAATTTTTAAAATATAATAAACGAAAAAAAAAGTTCATTTCATTTTTCCCCATCAGAGAATCGAACTCGAGTCTTCAGTGTGGAAGGCAAGAACGCTAACTACAGGACCACCTATTCTTTTATTTTTGTTGCTTTAATACTCGTAATTAAATTGACTTCATATAGTTTTATTTAAATTAACAAATTATTTATAATTATAGACGAAATAAAAACAGAAATTATATTATATGTCGATTCTACACAAGAATAACCCATTTTAATGTATGTTTAATCTCAATAACTAAAAAATTTACTGACAATTAGTTTTACAGAATTTAAAATTTTAAAAATAATAGCAATCGGTTGCAGTGTTCTCACTATCTAGAATGGATATGATATTTATTCGTTCAGTTGAAGGCAGTACCATACTTTTTCGTTTTGTAATCTGTGCGTAGATAAGCTAATATCCATGTGGGTGTAGAAAAAAGTATTAATATCAGACTTCATCGTTCTGTGTATCGGTCCAATAACAAAACATTGAAAAATATCACCTTGCTAAAATTTTATTAAAAATAAAATAACTAAACCAGCGATAGCTTAATTGGGTGGGTTCGAATCCTCCGCGGGCAGAATTTTTTAAATTTTTCAT